CTTGTGTATATTCTAACTTCAAAATAATCTGTATAAGTTCTAGTGAAAATTGGATGTACTACATGATTTCAAAAAGGGTAATAAGGTACAGGGAAAAATCTCAAAATTTTGAATATTAGAATTTTCAGAAAAGCCGACCTTAGTTATAAGGTGTAACTGGCAGTTTGGTCTTAGAACTTTCAGAAATTGAATAACAGTAGCGTTATATAGTTACATTATAATATATATGTATTTATTGAATGTTCTCGGGGTTTACATCGCTAGCAAATATTTAGAGATATCAAAAGCTTTTATTGTACTTTAGAAAGACTTAAATCATCATCATCATCATCATCCTCCTCTTAAACCTATGGCATGAATACATACAAGAAGTGAGAACATTAATCCATAGCTAGATCATGTTTGTTCTATTTATATGCTAGATTGTAATTTGGTCGTGATTATACTCTTATCAGTTAATCGAATGTGCAAGCTAGCAAGGTCCTATTTTTCCTTTGTCATTATAATGTAGGTGCCTTGTTTTCCATTACCGATGTATTGCATTATAATTGCATTTCTAATAACTTTCAACAGATAGTCAGTATGCAATTTGGTTGTAACATTCAAAAGTTAGAACAATGTAAGTAATAAATTTTTTTTTATCCTTAGACCACTTTAACAATGTCCGTTACTCAATGCAATACTATTTAATGACGGAGAATTAACCAGAAGCTAACGTCATCTTATCTGCTTCAGCTCAAAAATGAAGTACAGTACGATTTGGAAAAGTTCAAGAAGGTTACAACGTTCAACTATATATTTTCTTATTTAATTATATTCTGAAATACGTGATAGAGTTTATGTTTATTAGTATTTTTATCTCATTGAGATATGTTCGTTCAGAAGAGTGACATGTCTCATAATAAGTAGCATCATTATCATCTGAATGAATCGATAGAGAGAATGTGACCAAACTCTATTAAAAGGTTTTTTTACCAAAGGTATTTCCACCTTATAGAATATTTCTCTTCAAGGCTTTCAACGAAATGTTAATAAACACATTAAATATTTTAGTTCAATTCAAGTGGCTGAAATTTTCAAATAATTGGTATCTGCTGTTCATAACTGTTGTAAATGAAAAATGATAAGTATTTGCATAACTAGAAGTATTACCTTGTAGAGCATAATCCATTTGGTCTATCTTATTTTTGTTAAAAGTTATTTAGAATTATTATACAATTTATTCTTCGTGGTTCTCTTTCAAACCCAAAATTTAATATGCGTAAGATTTAGGACATAGATATATTTTACTTCGATAGTCTATGGTCTTTATATATGTTTGGTATTCGTTTATTTTCTTTTTCATACTAGAATCATTTCATCCCAAGCCAAGCCGGATAGGCCTATTTTATTATCTTTAACTACTGATTTTCGTCATATGGTTTAATATTTTTTTATTCTTCAATAAGGTTATGTTATTACTTTAAAAGGAATTAAGATTCATTAAAAGAAAACATCCAAGGAAGTACTAAAGGATAAAAGACCATTTAGATTTTTTATCACTTTTGTTTTTTTGTTTACCGAGACAATACTCTATATACATGTTACCATCAGTTTCAAAAGGAATATTTTGAACTAAACATAGAAATTATCATATACAAAAAGAAGAATGACTATAAAAGGTTTTCAAAAGAACAGTCAAACCTGTACCCTTTTAAAGAGACTTTGAGGTCATATTTCTTATTATAATAAAAAAGTAGCAATGGTTTTTACCGAGCTGAATATTCTGTGGGTATACAGTAAGATATTCGAATGAGAATAATAATTAATGATTAGGAACACTAACATTAACATTAATTAAATAACACATAGAATATTGTGTGCAATTATTATAATTGAATAGGCTTATACGACGATGCTTGAATAAGAAGTTGATGAATGTAAAGGTTAACAACTACGCCACTAAATTCGTAATATATAAAGACAAGGGTTTGGAATACATAATCTGTATATTAAATAATTCCTTCCAAAATATATTAAGAACAATTATCTGTAAAATAAAAATGAATGAAAATAAAAATATAATCAATACTCAACAAGATAGAAACGAAGTATTCTATCAGTTTGTTGAATCCTAATTCTTTATAGAGTTATAGCATAAGACTTTTTAAGACCAAAGTAATAATAAACGATACGACGAAATGTTATTAGTTAAAGATAAAAATATGAACTTATCCGACTAAGTCTCAGATGCTATAATTGGATGAACAGGAATGCAAACGAATAGCAAACAGATTTAAAGGGTATATTTTATTAATAAAAAAAAGAACTATGTCCTAACTTTTAAGTATATTAAATCTCGGATTTGAAAGAGAATAACGAAGAACAAATTGTATAATACTAATTAGAAAGTTTGAATAAAAATAAAATAGACAAAACGGAATATGCTCTACAAGATAATACTAAAATAAATGCAAACATATATTACCTTTTATCATCAATACTGAATCGAATGTGAAAGTATTTGTTATATTTTATCTCTCTTTATTATGTTATCTAAATGGTTTACTGAATTTACTTACAGGTTTCTTAAGAACCACAGCAAAAAAATAATGGGGCTAGCTATAATCGATCTCAAAATAACCCTACAGAGTAGCTTCGCATTATAACTTTCTAGTAATAAAACAATAACCTAATTCCACGCTATTATGAATATTGTAGCTATCTCGTAAGGGAAATGAGCTGAAGCAGACATATTGATGTTAGATTCGGATTGGTTTCGCATATTAAATAAGTATTGTTGAGTAATGGTGATTATTACGGTGATAGTAAGTTGTAAAGCAAATGTATAACTTACTTTGTTCTAAATTTGTAGGTGTTTTTTTTTATTTCTTATTCAATATACACAACAAATAAATTCTAACTCAAATTGTGAGTTTAGATTGACTCGTATTTATATAATTTTAATTCCTTTCAATTACCTTCTCATTTATTAGGTAAACTTCCTTACATAATGGTTCATCAGTACCCAACATTGCATTAGTAATGCGTTTAAGTAATGTCCTATTATATGACCTTCTCGTGTTCTTTTCTATGTTCTGAGTAAAACATTTTAGATATACTCATGTAATATTATTTCCGTCGCCAACAACTGTTAAAAATATTGGAAATTGTCAGTTTATAGATTACTCATTGTTATTTAATTCATGTACAGTTATTTTTATTCTGAAAGATTTAGACTGAAATTTGTCGTCCCTTTCTTTCAATTTTAGTTTACATAATATTACATTTAAATAATGGAAATTATTTAATTCAAGTCTGAATTATTATTCTATATATATTCCACTGGATTTGCTGTTGTCATGATTATGATACTCACCCATCGATGACATGTTGAAAATTTTTCTGTCTTTCATGGTTTCCTTTTTAGGAAAGAGTTTGATTTGTTATAGTGCCTCAAAAACCTAGTTAGGGTTAGCAATGAGGGCTTTTGATCTTTGTCATTATTAATGACTACTATAATTCAAAGTGTAGTCATATAAATCTGTGTTGACACAGTTTAGAGATCTCAAATTGTCGGGGTATCTCTAAATTGGAAGTGTTAGTGAGAGACATATTATACGTATACAATTATATAATATTTTTGGGTATTCTTTTTGTCGGAAAACTGGGAATTAGAGAATAACAATAGTATATATATTTACTGTAGGTCAGGACTAGGTGTCCGTTGCCAGCAGCAGAGCTCCT